TTCCTCAGCACCACATAAGCAAAAAGAAAAAAGCCAGAAGTGGCGCTGTAGCTCAAGTGGTAGAGCGCTAGCCTTGAGCTGAAGAGCTGAGGGACAGTGTCCAAGCCCAGAGTTCAGGCCCCACGACCATAAAAAAAAGAATGTCTCTATTATGTGACCTACATACAGATATCAAGAAGGTGATATGATTTCTGGAGCAAAGAGTAGTCGCTTGACATAAAAACCTGGGAATCAGCCGGGCGCCGGTGGCTCATGTCTGTAATCGTAGCTACTCATGAGGCTGAGATCTGAGGATCGTGGTTCAAAGCCATCCTGGGCAGCAAAGTCCCTGAGACTCTTATCTCCAATAAACCACTCGAAAACTGGAAGTGGCCCTGTGGCTCAAGCCATAGAGCGCTAGCCTTGAGCTGAAGAGTGCAGGGACAGAGGCCAAGTCCAGAGTTCAAGCCCCATGACTGACCAAAAAAAAAAAAAAACCCTGGGAATCAGCAGTAGAGGCATAATATTTAAATTTAAAGGAATTTTATTATCTACTCTATAGAGAATGTGGATCATGAAGAAGAGGCCCGGGAACAATCCCTGGTTGTACCCACATGTATCGGAGAGGCAGCATGTAAGATTGAGAAAAATAGGTTAGGGAAAAAAAGAGGATGATGAGAGAGTAAGGTATGATATAACATGCTCAATTGGTGTATGTGAACTAATACAGCGAATGCTCAAGATGACAGAAGAGGAAAAGAAAAAAAGTACTAATGAGGGGCTGGGAAGGTGGCTCAGTGGTAGAGTGGTTGCCTTGCATGCATGAGGCCCTGGGTTCGATTCCTCAGCACCACATAAGCAGAAAAAGCCACGAGTGGTGCTGTGGCTCAAGTGGTAGAGCGCTAGCCTTGAGCTGAAGGGCCCAGGTCCAGAGTTCAACCCCCACAACTGGCAAAAAAAAAAAAAAAAGTATCAATGAGGTAATGTAAGATTTTTTCTAATTGAAGAATCTGTTTCCAAAGTCAAAGGCTTATAGGCAGTGGGGAGTGGGGGCTCAGTGGTAGTGTGAGGCCTAGATCTATGCCAAAAAGAAAAAAAGAAGTATTACTTAAGCCTCAACATTAAAAAAAGAGCTAGGTGGCTCACGCCTATAATCCTAGCTACTCAAGAAACTAAGATCTGGGGCTGGGAAGGTGGCTCAGTGGTAGAGCACTTGCCTTGCAAGCCTCAGGCCCTGGGTTCGATTCCTCAGCACCACATAAGCAAAAAGAAAAAAGCCGGAAGTGGCGCTGTGGCTCAAGTGGTAGAGTCTAGCCTTGAGCTGAAGAGCTGAGGGACAGCGCCCAGGCCCAGAGTTCAGGCCCCACAACCGGACCCAAAAAAAAAATAAAAAGAAACTAAGATCTGAGAATTGCCATCAAATCCAGCCCAGCCAGTGCTGGAAAGTTTGAGATTCTTATCTCCAGCTGAAAACTGGAAGTGGTCCTGTGGCTCAAGTGGTAGAGTGCTTGCCTTGAGCTGAAGAGCTCAGACAGCCCTAGGCCCGGAGTTCAAGCCCCACAACTAACCACCCCCCCAAAAAAAAAAAAAAACCATAATCAGCCAGTTGCCAGTGGCTCACACCTGTAATCCTCTACTCTGAAGGCTGAGATCTGAGGACCATGGTCAAAGCCAGTCCTAGCAGGAAAGTCAGACTCCTATTTACAAAACTGAAGGAGAGCTGTGTCTTAAGCAGTAGAGAGATAGTCAAGTACAAAAATTCAGGGACAGATCCCAGACCAAGTTCAAGCCCCAGGACCAGCCAAAAACAAGATTTCTTAGACTGGGCTGGTGGTACAGGTCTATCATCCAAGTATTCAGAAAATGGAGATAAGATAGAAAGTCTGAGACCTTTCTTTTTGCCTCTGGCAAAAACACAAAACCCTGTCTGAAAAATTAAAGCAGCAAAAAGGGCTAGGAACGTGGCTCAAGTGAAAGGGATTGAAATCTCTTTACCACCAAAAGTAATAGCAAAAGGCATGATCATAAATAAAAAAGATAAGAAAAGATAGTTATTTAATTGTATTCTTGTATTACATTTACATGTTAATTGTAAGTAAAGTTCTGGACCTCGTAACACTTTCTGATTTAATAATGCTGGTTGGTAGCTGTATGAGTGTATATCTTTTGGGGGGGGGAGCGGAGGTAAGGCCAGTTCTGAGCTCTTTTGGTCAAGGTTAGCCCTCTACCACTTGAGCCACAACTCTTCTTCCTGCTTTTTGGTGGTTGGAGTTAAGAGTCTCATGGGGGCTGGGAAGGTGGTTCAGTGGTAAAGCGTTTGCCCTGGGTTCGATTCCTCAGCACCACATAAGCAGGAAAAAAAAGCCGGAAGTGGCGCTGTGGCTCAAGTGGTAGAGTGCTAGCCTTGAGCTGCTAAAGAGCTGAGGGACAGAGGCCCAGGCCCAGAGTTCAGGCCCCACGACCAGACCCCCCCAATAAAAAAGTCTCATGGAATTTTCTGCCTTTGAACTGTGTGTGATTTTCAGGTATCAGATTCCTTGAGTAGCTAGGATTACAACTATAAGCCACCAGCATCTAGCTTATTATACCTTGTTTGAGTTTTTTTTGTTGTTTGAATCTTTAAAGTGTTTTTATA